TCACCCGGGACAGAGCACGGCGCACCATCACACTGACTCAGTCACACATGGTGCACCAGGTCCTTCAGCGCTTCGGCTTCCAGTACTCCTCGCCACAGCTCACTCCTTTGTCTACCAGCCACTCACTCTCAGCTCCACCTTCGGACGAGTCCGTAGAGCCGAGTGGTCCATACCCACAGCTTGTGGGTTGCCTCATGTACCTGATGACTTGCACACGACCTGACCTCGCGTACCCTCTCAGCCTTTTGGCTCGCTACGTGGCTCCCGGTAGGCACCGAAAGGTGCTCTGGGATGCTGCGAAGAGGGTACTGCGTTACCTGTGCAGTACATCGGGCATGGGGCTTGTGCTTGGAGGACGGGGTCCAGTTGTCCTCACTGGTCACGCAGACGCCTCCTGGGTTGACAACTCAGCTACGCAGAGGTCGTCACAGGGTTACACCTTCAGCCTTGGGTCCGGCTCGGTTTCTTGGCGGTCTACCCGCTCGTCTTCAGTTCTCAGCTCTAGTTGTGAGGCTGAGATCTACGCCGGAGCCATGGCTGCTCAGGAGCTACGCTGGCTCACCTACTTGCTGACTGACTTGGGAGAGCAGCCTCGTTCGCCTCCAGTCCTGTACGTAGACAACAAGGCCATGATAGCCTTGTGTCAGGAGCACAGAAAGAAACACATCGCTCTGCGATACTTCCTTGCTCGAGAGTTGCAGCAGCGTGGTCAGCTTCGTCTAGAGTACGTGGCCACTCGGGCCAACACTGCTGATGTCTTCACCAAGGCACTTCCGCCTGGTGATCATCAGCGCTTTGTTACTGTGTACGGCCTTGTGCCTACTTTGCCTCACTTACTTACTGCCTGACTCTTCCTGTACTGTGATCTATATATTTACCTGCATGCTTGCACTAGCTAGGGTATGATCACTGTATTCTTTGTTCTCTTTCTATAACTCTGCATGTGAACTGGCCTTGTGGCCCTTTGCTGGTGCTCGGACTGTGTGGTGACTTTGTGATCCACCCTGAGCTTGCTTTGCTTTGCTTCTTCTCTTGACTGGTCTTGTGACCATTGCTTGCTCTTGCTATCCCCCACTTCGCCTATGGGGGTGTGTCAAACATATATGCTTAGTTGTATCTAGGCTTAGTTGCATCTAGGCTGTATGGGGGCTAGCTTTAGGGGGTACACAAATCTTCTCGACATTCTACTTGTACCCCCCCCTTTTCTCCTGATCATCCATTCTCGTCACTCATTCTAACAGGTGGCAGCAGTTGGAGTGGTGGAGGCCGTCCTAGCGGTTGCTGTGGAACTGTTTGGTGGGGAGTTTCTGGAAGTGGCCAGATGCGGCTGCAACAGAGTTAGCGCGAGTCCCTTCCACCCCAGCAGCTACGTGAGTGGTACACTAGTAGGGGTGGTGGCGGCGGCAGTAGTGGAGGTCGCTCTGCAGCTGTTCAAATGGGAGATCCGGGCGGTGGCCGGACGACACTGCAGCAGCGTCCGCGCGAGACCCTTTCACCTCAGCAACTTCTTGAGTGGTACGTTCCCTGTGGATTTTCAGGGTGAAGCGGCCGTCGGGTTCTCCGCCTGCCTTCAAGGTGCGTTACGTTGCTCGAGGCTTCAGTCAGCGACAGGGGGTTGACTACTTCCAGACCTTCTCCCCCACCTCGAAGATCACTACTCATCGGGTGTTGCTGCACGTCGCTGCTCAGCGTGACTACGAGCTGCACTCTCTGGACTTCAGCACGATCTGGCTGCGCCGCCCACCTGGCTTCACTGGGTCGTTTCCTGCAGGTACCCAGTGGAGCCTCCGGCGGCCAGTCTACGGTCTCCGCCAGGCGCCTCGTGAGTGGCACGACACACTCAGGACTACACTTGCGGCTCTTGGGTTTGCTCCTTCTACTGCTGACACGTCGCTGTTTCTACGCACCGACACCTCGCTGCCGCCGTTCTACGTCCTCGTCTACTTCGACGACTTGGTCTTTGCCACTGCCGACATTGAGGCACTGACCCTTGTGAAGTCGGAGCTGCAAAAGAGACACACCTGCACTGACCTGGGTGAACTGCACAGCTATCTTGGCCTGCAGATCACCCGGGACAGAGCACGACGCACCATCACCTTGACTCAGTCACACATGGTGCACCAAGTCCTTCAGCGCTTCTGCTTCTAGTTCTCCTTGCCACAGCCCACTCCTCTGTCTACCAGCCACTCGCTCTCAGCTCCACCTTCGGACGAGTCCGTAGAGTCGAGTGGTCCGTACCCAGAGCTTGTGGGTTGCCTCATGTACCTGATGACTTGCACACGACCTGACCTCGCGTACCCTCTCAGACTTCTGGCTCGCTACGTGGCTCCCGGTAGGCACCGAAAGGTACACTGGGATGCTGCGAAGAGGGTACTACGCTACTTGTGCAGTACGTCAGGCATGGGGCTCGTGCTTGGAGGACGAGGTCCAGTTGTCCTCACCGGTCACGCAGACGCTTCCTGGGTTGACGACTCAGCTACGCAGCGGTCATCACAGGGTTACACCTTCAGCCTTGGTTCCAGCTCTGTTTCCTGGCGGTCTACTCGCTCGTCTTCAGTTCTCAGCTCCTGCTGTGAGGCTGAGATCTACGCCAGGGCCATGGCTGCACTGGAGCTACGCTGGCTCACCTACCTGCTGACTGACTTGGGAGAGCAGCGTCGTTCGCCTCCAGTTTTGTACGTAGACAACAAGGCCATGATAGCCTTGTGTCAGGAGCACAGACTGGAGCACAGAACGAAGCACATCGCTCTACGATACTTCCTTGCTCGAGAGTTGCAGCAGCGTGGCCAGCTTCATCTTGCGTACGTGGCCACTAGGGCCAACAATGCTGATATATTCACCAAGGCACTTCCGTCTGGTGATCATCAGCGCTTCTCTACTGTGTTAGGCCTTGTGCCTACTTTGCCTGACTTGCTCACTGCGTGAATTTGTTTGTATTGTGATCTACATATATATGTATATATACCTGCATGGTTACACTTGCTAGGGAATGATCACTGTATTGTTTGTTCTCTTTTATATAACTCTGCATGTGAACTGGCCTTGTGGCCCTTTGTTTGTGCTCGGACTGTGTGGTGACTTTGTGATCCACCCTGAGCTTGCTTTGCTTTTCTTGACTGGTCTTATGACCACTTGTTCTCCCCCACTTTGCCTATGGGGGTGTGTCAGAACTTTATAGCTTTTACATTTGTGTAGCCCATAAGGGGTACAACCCAATTAGGGTTAGTACTTGTACCCAACTGTTTCATAGTTCATTCATTCTCGGTCATTCTCTTGACAGCTTACACTTGCTAGGGTATGATCACTATATTGTTTGTTCGTTATATATAACTCTGCATGTGAACTGGCCTTGTGGCCCTTTGCTTGTGCTCGGACTGTATGGTGACTTTGTGATCCTCCCTGAGCTTGGTTTGCTTTTCTTGACTGGTCTTGTGACCGCTTGTTCTCCCCACTTTGCCTATGGGGGTGTGTCAAAATGTTATATAGCTTATATTGTGTAGGATATAGTGGGGTAGCCCATAAGGGGTACAACCCAATTAGGGTTAGTACTTGTACCCAACTGTTTCATAGTTCATTCATTCTCGTTCATTCTCTTGACAGCTTACACTTGCTATGTCAGAGGTCCACTGGTGATCCCCGATTGATCCTAGGGAAGGGTTACAGGCTCGTTGTCTTGGGGGGTTATGGGCGCACTGACCCGCTACTTAACAAGCCCTTCTATCCCAATGGTCTAAGTGGTTGGGATTCTGACATGTTATCAGAGCGAAGGTCTCGGGTTCGAATCCCAGTGTGTACACTTCGGGCATCCCAGTGCAGGGGGGTGTCAGTGGTCCACTGGTGATCCCCGATTGATCCTAGGGAAGGATTACAGGCTCGTTGTCCTGGGGGGGTATGGGCGCACTGACCCGCTACTTAACAAGCCCTTCTCTCCCAATGGTCTAAGTGGTAGGGATTCTGACATGCTAGGGTATGATCACTGTATTGTTTGTTCTTTTTATATAACTCTGCATGTGAACTGGCCTTGTGGCCCTTTGCTTGTGCTCGGACGGTGTGGTGACTTTGTGATCCTCCCTGATAGCGGCAGCCACGAAATTTGACAGCCTCAAAGGGGTCTTATCCGCCAATAGCGCGAGAAGTATGACGTTGCGAGGCAGGTAAGATGACTTGGGGGCAGCTGAGATGACGTGGCGTGGCGAGGCAGGTGAGATGACGTGGCGAGGCAGGTGAGGGTGACGTGGCATAGCAGGTTCGAAATATGGTTTGATATGAAGGATGGATAGGGGGATTCCAGGAGGAGAGCAATGAGGTGGGTGAAAGAATAAGGTTGCTAAGATAGTTGGAGTTAGTCAGTCAAGAATTGGATTGGACACACCGCCATTAATGATTGAATATTGCATTGGATTGATGGTGGCAACCACAACAAATGCCAGCCCCAAAATGGTCTCACTTCCAAATTTTCGAGATTGACATACAGTACAAACACAAGTGTGCACTCAACTTGGTGTACAAACACACTAGCTTTGCACGGTATGGTTTCCACTGTGTATTCTTAAGTCCACCCAAAAAACAGTACAGCCTCCATAGTGCGGCCGCACGAGGGCTTGGGTTTTTTTAGCCAATCCGGTCGCTCTCTCTTTGAGTTGACTTAAAAGTCCCATCCCCATTCTTCGCTGGTAGGTAGAGGAGCGCATTAAGGAGGGTCTTAATAATATCGGGTCGGGTTAGAGGCCCGTCAGCTCAGACCCCCTTCTCCCCTCGCTGACCGCTGGCACGTCACACATGGCAGGTGGAGGAGCGCATCAAGGAGGGTCCAAAGAACGCCCTGGACCCATACCTGGGCAGCCATAGCGCGCTTGCATGAGGGCGTGGTGTACTTTGAGCCCCACCGGTCGCACTCATATATGTGCACCTCCGTGCCTTTCCCACATGGCAGGTGGAGGAGCGCATCAAAGAGGGTCCCAAGAACGCCCTGGACCCATACCTAGCTCCCATAGCGCGGCATGGAGGCAGCTCCAGCGCACTCATTCCCTCCACTCCCTGCCTCCTCGTGCCGTTGCCCATGGCAGGTGGAGGAGCGCATCAAAGAGGGTCCCAAGAACGCATTGGACCCATACCTAGCAGCGATAGCCCGGCTGCACGAGGGCGTTGCGTACTTTGAGGCAAACCGGTCGTTCAAGAGCGCGGAGGCAGCTCTGGCTCACTCCAAGGCGCTGCTGCTGAAGGCGTGGCGTGGCGTGCTTGGGGCCTTCAGCTCAGCAGCGCGCTGTGCAACCAATCATCACAAGCCCTTTGCCCCCTTGTTCCTCTCACTTTGCGCTGGCAGGTGGAGGAGCGCATTAAAGAGGGTCCCAAAAACGCCCTGGACCCATACCTAGCAGCGATAGCCCGGCTGCACGAGGGCGTGGCGTACTTTGAGGCAAACCGGTCGTTCAAGAGCGCGGAGGCAGCTCTGGCTCACTCCGAGGCGCTGCTGCTGAGGGCGTGGCGTGGCGTGCTTGGAGCCTTCAGCTCAGCAGCGCGCTGTGCAATCAATCATCACAAGCCCTTTGCCCTCTTGTTCCTCTCACTTTGCGCTGGCAGGTGGAGGAGCGCATTAAAGAGGGTCCCAAAAACGCCCTGGACCCATACCTAGCAGCGATAGCCCGCTGCACGAGGGCGCGGCGTACTTTGAGGCAAACCGGTCGTTCAAGAGCGCGGAGGCAGCTCTGGCTCACTCCGAGGCGCTGCTGCTGAGGGCGTGGCGTGGCGTGCTTGGAGCCTTCAGCTCAGCAGCGCGCTGTGCAATCAATCATCACAAGCCCTTTGCCCCCTTGTTCCTCTCACTTTGCGCTGGCAGGTGGAGGAGCGCATTAAAGAGGGTCCCAAAAACGCCCTGGACCCATACCTAGCAGCGATAGCCCGCTGCACGAGGGCGCGGCGTACTTTGAGGCAAACCGGTCGTTCAAGAGCGCGGAGGCAGCTCTGGCTCACTCCGAGGCGCTGCTGCTGAGGGCATGGCGTGGCGTGCTTGGAGCCTGCAGCTCAGCATCGCGCTGTGCAATCAATCATCACAAGCCCTTTGCCCCCTTGTTCCTCTCACTTTGCGCTGGCAGGTGGAGGAGCGCATTAAAGAGGGTCCCAAAAACGCCCTGGACCCATACCTAGCAGCGATAGCCCGGCTGCACGAGGGCGCGGCGTACTTTGAGGCCAACCGCTCGTTCAAGAGCGCGGAGGCAGCTCTGGCTCACTCCAAGGCGCTGCTGCGGGAGGGCCACCACCGCCTGGAGGATGCTCTTCGGCAGCAATTGTTGCAGTTCGCGTGAGTTAGAGAGGGGGTGGAGGGGGGAGGGGCTAGGGGGAGGGAGGGCGGAGCGGAGGCGGCTCTGGCCCACTTTAAGGCGCTGCTGAGGGAGGGCCACCACCGCCTGGAGGATGACCTCCGGCAGCAATTGTTGCAGTATACGTGAGTGAGGAGGGGTGGGGGGAGGTAGGAGGGAGAGGATGAAGCAGAGGGATACATGATGGATCCGACAAACGAGGTGTAAGGAAAGGAGGAGGAGTGTGGGGAGGAAGTCACGGGCGGCTGAAACTTGGTGTCCATGGGGGATGCAGCAGGGTTAAGTGGAGTGAATGAGTAGGTGTCTAAGATGGAGGTGATGAATTTGGATTGATGAAGGTGGAGAGTGCGGGATGTCCGATCACGAGTGATGTGAAAGCCAAGGTAGTAGGAAAGAGGTAGGAGGGAGAGGATGAAGCAGAGGGAAGGAAGAGGCAGAGAGGGCTGCTGAGGGAGGGCCGCCACCGCCTGGAAGATGCTCTCCAGCAGCAATTGTTGCAGTACAGTTGAGTTAGAGAAGAGGGGGGGGGGCTGCTGCAGTTCACGTGCGTGAGGAGGGGGGGAGATCAGGGGGAGGTCGGGAGGAGGGATAGCGGACATGGAGGGATGGGGGGTAGGAGTTATAGGCGTGTCAAAAGTAGGGCCACCACCGCCTGGAGGATGCTCTTCGGCAGCACCTGCTGCAGTTCACGTGAGTGAGAGGGGGGGCTAGGGGGAGGGAGGGCGGAGCTCTCGCTATCTCAAAGGCGCTGATGAGCCAGGAGGAAGGGGGCATGCATAAGCCCTGGTTCCTCTTCTAAACAGCCCTCACTCACTCCATCCTATCCAACCCCCTCACTCTCTTGTGCCTTCCTGCACCCACTCCTCCCCTTCCCCCCTCCCCTCCCATCGTTCTAGAAAGGACGCGGGCCTGGCAAAGCAACTAGACGCGAGCAAGCAGGGCGAGGAGGAGGCGGGCGGGAAAGGTAGCCTTGATCCCGTTTCTGATCAATCCAACTCCTGCAATCCAACTCCTGCAATCCAACTCCTGCAATCCAACTCCCCCATGCAATCCAACTCCCCCATGCAATCCAACTCCCCCATGCAATCCAACTCCCCCATGCAATCCAACTCCCCCATGCAATCCAACTCCCCCATGCAATCCAACTCCCCCATGCAATCCAACTCCCCCATGCAATCCAACTCCCCCATGCAATCCAACTCCCCCATGCAATGCAACTCCCCCATGCAATCCAACTCCCCCATGCAATCCAACTCCCCCATGCAATCCAACTCCCCCATGCAATCCAACTCCCCCATGCAATCCAACTCCCCCATGCAATCCAACTCCCCCATGCAATCCAACTCCCCCATGCAATCCAACTCCCCCATGCAATCCAACTCCCCCATGCAATCCAACTCCCCCATGCAATCCAACTCCCCCATGCAATCCAACTCCCCCATGCAATCCAACTCCCCCATGCAATGCAACTCCCCCATGCAATCCAACTCCCCCATGCAATCCAACTCCCCCATGCAATCCAACTCCCCCATGCAATCCAACTCCCCCATGCAATCCAACTCCCCCATGCAATCCAACTCCCCCATGCAATCCAACTCCCCCATGCAATCCAACTCCCCCATGCAATCCAACTCCCCCATGCAATCCAACTCCCCCATGCAATCCAACTCCCCCATGCAATCCAACTCCCCCATGCAATCCAACTCCCCCATGCAATCCAACTCCCCCATGCAATCCAACTCCCCCATGCAATCCAACTCCCCCATGCAATGCAACTCCCCCATGCAATCCAACTCCCCCATGCAATCCAACTCCCCCATGCAATCCAACTCCCCCATGCAATGCAACTCCCCCATGCAATCCAACTCCCCCATGCAATCCAACTCCCCCATGCAATCCAACTCCCCCATGCAATGCAACTCCCCCATGCAATCCAACTCCCCCATGCAATGCAACTCCCCCATGCAATGCAACTCCCCCATGCAATGCAACTCCCCCATGCAATGCAACTCCCCCATGCAATCCAACTCCCCCATGCAATCCAACTTCCCCATGCAATGCAACTCCCCCATGCAATCCAACTCCCCCATGCAATGCAACTCCCCCATGCAATCCAACTCCCCCATGCAATGCAACTCCCCCATGCAATCCAACTCCCCCATGCAATGCAACTCCCCCATGCAATGCAACTCCCCCATGCAATGCAACTCCCCCATGCAATGCAACTCCCCCATGCAATGCAACTCCCCCATGCAATGCAACTCCCCCGATCTCCTGTTCCTTCTCCCCCCTTCCTTATTCCCCCCCCCTCCCTCCCCCCTTACCCCTTTCCCACCTTCCAGAAAGGACGCGGACCCGGCAAAGCTGTTAGACGCGAGCAAGCAGGGCGAGGAGGAGGGCGGTGCGGAGGGCGAGAAGGAGTGCGGCGGGCTGCCGGTGCTGCTGGCGGAATCCGACGCCTAGAGTGGGTGCTCATCCGCAGAGCCCGCGCCAACAGCTGCCGGTGCTGCTGGCGGATGGCAAGGTGGGCGAGCGAACCCGCCAGCTGGCAGCTCACTCACCCCAACTGATCCAGCTCCCCCCTTCCTCCCATCTCCCCCATTCCCGCCCCTGCTCCCTTTTCCCCCCTACCCCTTCCCCCTTTTCCCCCCTCCCCTCTTCCCCCACTGCCCGGTCCCCTCCTCCAGCAAGGATGCAGACCCGGCAAAGCTGCTAGACGCGAGCAAGCAGGGCGAGGAGGAGGGGGGCGTGGAGGGCGAGAAGGAGGGCGGCGGGCTGCCGGTGCTGCTGGCGGATGGCAAGGCGGGCGAGCGCATCCGCCAGCTGGCAGAGGCGCTCATCCGGATTGGCCGAGCTGATAACTGCCTAAAGATTTACACGTGAGTGAGGAATTTGTTACAGTGTAGAGTGGAGGTTTGATTTTTTTATTTTATTTTTCACCTGGTAATGATGTGATATATGAAGATTGAAGACTGCCTGAAGTATGTTCAGAAGGAATGAGAACGGAAGGGATTTGGTTCTTACGTTCTGGGAATGAGAACGGAAGGGCTTATTCGATCACCTTGTATATGTGAGTGGTGGTATTGTGCTATTGGCATGGGGGGGGGAGCTGGTTCCCACTCTCTCTGGTCACACATTTGATTGAATTGGAATTGAACTGATTGCTTGATAAGGAAGGCACTAGGCCTTAAGTACAAACAGGGTTGGGTTGAGCAAAGCTAGGGAAAGGATGGGATGGGAATCCTAGCAAATCTCCAATTGGTGAGTTGGCAGATTTGCAGGATTACGAGGGAATCCCAACCAGATAGGGTTGGGATTACAAATCTACACCCAACCTACAAAGTAACCTAACCGATATAGAATATAGTACAAAGTGTTGACTGACTATTTCTAACACACCCCCTAGGCTGACAACACTTCAGCCACATGGCGGCCCAACACCCATGGACGAGAGGAGGCGGTAATGGTCTTGGCGAACAAGAGACTTGGTAAACAAGTCAGCAAGGTTGCAGTCGGAGGCAATGTGTTCAGCCTTCAGCTGCTCGCGCTGCACCAGCTCACGAAGAAAGTAGTGACGGACCTCAATGTGCTTGGTGCGGCCGTGGAAGACGGGGTCCTTTGTGAGATGAATGGTGCTCTCGTTGTCACACCAAAGCGTTGGGGTTGGTTGAGGATACTCAAGTTCTGCCAGCAAGAAGGAGAGCCAACGGGCCTCTTGGGCAGCCATGGTCCCGGCATACAGCTCTGCCTCACAGGTCGACAGTGAGACGGAAGACGACCGAGTGGAGCGCCAACTGACAACCCCACTGCCAAGGGTAAAGCAATATCCTTGGGAAGAGCGCCGATCACTCTGGTCATTAGCATAGGACGAGTCACTGTACCCCTCAAGGCGAACAGGGGAAGAGCCGCCAAGAGTGAGCACATAGTCCTGTGTGCCTTTGAGATAGCGGAGGACCCGCTTGGCGGCAGACCAGTGGTGGCTCGTGAAGCGACCAGGTGCAACGTAGCGAGACAGGACACTGACTGGATAGGCCAAATCTGGTCGAGTGCACATCATCGCGTACATGAGGGAACCGACGAGCTCGGGGTAAGCCTCATCACAGGGCTCAGGTGAGGGAACAGAGGGTGCAGTGAGTTGGTGCTGCAGAGAGAGTGGGGTGGGCATTGAAGCTGCTTCCTGCATCTTAAACCTGGTCAGAACGTTGTTGATGTAGAACTTCTGCGAGAGGGTGATGGTGCGGGCCGTGCGTGTTAGAAGAGAGAGAATTGATACATTGAATAATGAGCCAAGAGGCTCTTTAGTACAAACAATGAGCAAGAGAGATGAGAGGGAAGCTTACCCTATTGGCCAATAAGTTGGCCAATGGGTGAGCTTGCTTGTGACCCAAGCAACCACAAATGTGTGTTGGTTGGGATTGGTTGAGCTAAGGACCAATCCCAACCAACCACAAAATGTGGTTGGAGGGTACACTAAGCAACCCCCCAATTTATAAATGTGCTACACTTCTAGCCTATGTATGTTGTATGAAATATGAAATTACAACACAACCCCCCAACATGCATAAGGCTAGAAGGCTAGAATCAAGAGGCGGGAGGCGACTTAGGAGGAGTGAGGCCAAGAAGACGAAGTAGGAAAGAGTGAGCGGCATGAGGAAGAGCTTTTGTGAAGATGTCGGCAAGGTTGGCCGCCGAGTCAACCTTGTCGAGGCGAAGGTGCCCCGCCTGAACAAGATCGCGAATGAAGAAATGACGGAGCTCGATGTGCTTGGAGCGCCCGTGAAACACAGCATCTTTGGTGAGGTGAATGGTACTAGCATTGTCACACCAAATTGTGGGACAGCGCTGGGGGGCACCAAGTTCCTCAAGAAGGAAGGTGAGCCAGCGGGCCTCTTGCGCAGCCATGGTGGCGGCATACAATTCCGCCTCGCAGGAGGAGAGGGCTGCAGCCGAGGAGCGGGTGGAGCGCCAGCTGATAAGGCCGCTGCCAAGAGAGAAGCCATAGCCCTGGGAGGAGCGACGATCTGGCCGGGAATCAGCCCAAGAGGAGTCACTGTAGCCACTGAGAAGAGGTGGGGAGGGGCCGCCAAGGGTAAGGACATAGTCCTTGGTGCCACGAAGGTACCGGAGGACACGCTTGGCGGCCTGCCAGTGCTCTTCCGTATGCTTGCCTGCGCCAACAAAACGAGCGAGGACGCTGATGGGGTAGGCAAGGTCAGGGCGAGTGGAGACCATGGCGTACATGAGGGAGCCGATGAGCTCGGGATAAGGATGGGAGGAGGCTGAGGGGGAGGTGGGTGGAGAGAGGTGGTGCCCGACAGAAAGAGGTGTATGTTGGGCGCCGCCGCGGGCCATGTCAAACCGCTCCAAGACCTGCTGCAAGTAATGACCCTGGGAGAGTGAGATGGTGCGGGCGGAGCGGTCACGGGTGATGGTCATGCCCAGATAATGCTGCAGCTCTCCCAAGTCTTTGCACTTGAGACGGGTGCCCAACTCAGCCTTAACATGCTCCAACTCTCCAAGGTCGGCAGTGAGCAGAATCATGTCATCGACATACACAAGGATGTAAAAGGGGGAGGGGGAGGTGCGGAGGAAGAGGCTGGCGTCAGAGCGGGAGGTGCGGAACCCAAGTTCAGCAAGGGTGGCGGCAAGTTTAGCATGCCACTCCCTCGGGGCCTGTCGGAGCCCATACACCGGTCGACGCAGCTGCCAGACAGAGTCTGCTGGGAAGGGGAGGTGAAAGCCGGCTGGACGCTCCATGTAGATAAGCTCGCGGAGGACGCCTTGTAGGAAGGCGTTAGAAACGTCCATCGAGTGGATCTCCATATTGAGGCGAGCGGCGAGGTCGAGCACGGCGTGAACAGTAGCAGGCTTGGCAGTAGGGGAGAAGGTATCGAAGAAGTCAAAACCATACCGCTGCGTGAACCCCTTGGCGCAGTAACGAGCCTTATAAACGGGCGGCTCCCCTGGCAGCTGCTTGACGCGAAACACCCACTTTCCTTTCACCACGTTCGTAGGGGCGGGAGGGCGAGGCACATCGACAAAAGAGGAGTTGCCGATAAAGGCCTCCAGCTCCTTGATGATGGCGGCGAGCCATAGCGGAGCGTCAGGGCACGCCATTGCCTCCGCGTACGTGGTAGGAACGAAAATGGAGGGAGCAGAGGAGAGGGCGAAGACAGGTGTGCCAGAGATGTCGAACGTGATGGGTAGAAGCGAGGGGTCATAAAGGTGGAGGTCAAGGAACTCTTCATGGGAGTCCTCAGAGAGGGAGGTGTGGAAGGCGCGGATGACTGCTGGTGCCGCTGCTGGTGCTGCTGGTGGAGGCGTTGCCGGTGCCGCTGCTGGTACTACTGCTGGTGCCGCTGCTGGTGCCGTTGCTGGTGCCGCTGCTGGTACTGTTGCTGGTGCCGCTGGAGGTGCCGCTGCTGGTCCCGCTGCTGCTGCGGCTGCTGGCGCTGCTGCTGCTGCCGCTGCTGGTCCCGCTGCTGGTGCCGCTGCTGGAGAGGAGGTGGCTGAGGGGGCTGTTGCATGAGGGGCTTGATGCAAGACAGCCTGGAAGAAGTGACGGAGGAGGGGGGAGAGAGGGGGGAGGGTAGAGGTAGAGAGGGTAACGGGAGGCGGTGCACCAAGGATACCGTCACGTGACCTGGTGTGGGGATACCGGGTGAGTATGGTGCGGGAAGGGGGAGGACGGGTTGGTGGCGAGGGAGAGGAAGGGGGGGGGGGAGGGGTACTAGGAGAGGAGTGAGCGGGGGAGACAGGAGAAGACAGAGGTTCCGGGTCAAAGATGTCACCAGCTATGTGGAGAAAGACGCTGGGGCAGCCCTGCGTCCTGCGTCCGGACGCAGCGTCCAGACGCAAAGACGCAGGACGCACCCTAGAAATTTTTTCGGGCAGACCGAGATTTTTTTTTTTTCGCGATCGCGAAATTGACATTCGCGATTTCGTCGCGAATGTCAATTTCGCCGAAATTCGACACCCCCCAAGCAAATTCGACCCCCAAAACCAGCCATCTAATTCACCCCTAACCCCCTCCCCTTTTTGCAAAATTGATTTGGAAATCCAACCCCTCTCCACCACTCCACAACTAGGAAACCCAACCTTTGTGGTCCACCACCCCCACAAAGCCCATTTAGTTCATGAAACCTCTCATTTGTGCTCCCTTTTCTCACAACCCAATTCTCTTTCAAAAACCCTAGTGGTTTTAGCTCCTTTCCGCGCACCACCGTTATGGCTAGCTCCTTGTGTTCGCGACCTTGTGTTCGTTGCGCACAACTGGAACGTTGTGCACAACCACCACAAGGGTGCGGCGGGTGCGGGGCCGAGTGGGGAAGTCAGGAAGGCGGGAATAGTGGAGGGGAACATTCCCCCCCGACCCCTTCCCGAGGGGTACAAGCTTGAGGAGGATGGAGAGGTGGAGGTGGATGAGGATGACCTCACCTTCGACGAGTACAAGGAGCAGGAGGATTTGGAGAAGGA